AAAAGGGGATATGAATCCAGGGAGACATCCAAGGCTGTCTAGTGAACAGGGAGACTGTGAGCAAGGCCCCAGTTCAGCAAGCTACTGCCTAAGCCAGTGAACTGCAGTCAGGCTTAAACGGGTGCCCCCGGGCTTTGCAGAACGGGTGCCTGAACTAGTGAGCTAAGAAAGGACAGGGAACTTGCTCGAGTCCTGAGGGGCAAGATGGGAGAGAGGCTGGGACGAGAGGCTGAGAATGGAGACAAAGCATTTTGAACAAGAGTGACAGAGCCCGTTGGAAGTTACTCATCCAGACCTTTTCGTAAGGGTCCCACAATCATACCTGCACTGCGAGAGAAGCCCGGAGCAGCCAACCGAAGCTGTAAATCCCAGCTGGCCTGTTACACCCCTGCACGTACAGCTCGTGCCGATTCCACAGCCACCCAGGTGGAGAGAGCTGCAGACAAGGCCCTTCCACTCCACCATGCCGGCAGGAAGCACGTGGAGGTGGCTGGGGGTGGCTGTAAAGCACACTAATGGCAGTCAATCACGGAAACAGAGACAAGCGCGTTGGTAACCTTGAATGATGAGGGGGAGGCTGAGTGACCACTGTGGAAACCGGTCTTTCCCCCTGCCATCTCATCTCATCTGAAGAGGGATGAGCAGCAGTTTCACAAGTTCCAAGACCAACTAATCTGCAGTTGCATAAGCATAAGGCATGATGGAGCAAACCCTCAAGGCTTCCATTGCTCAAACGCTCCATTACCAGCTCACGTCCAAGCGTAGCCAGCCTTTGGCATTACTGCTGGCCAAAGATCATTATAATAACTTTTGCCTTTTGAGCACAGGGTTAGAGTTTAGCTCGGAGCACTACTATAGCACAGTTTTTTCATAATCCACCAAATATGCAAAAGACAAAAAAAAAAATCTGTGGAGAAAGTCTTTAAATGGGATCAAGTCAGTGAGGCAGCCACCTGGTTTTGCCCTCAATCAAATCTTTAGTTCTGACATTGAGTAGCATCCAAAGACAGCAGTTCTCTGATTGATTAAACCACCACTGACCAGTTTAACAAACACACTGGGTGCAGGCACAGAGCACCTCTATTCCCGGATCTGCTGACATCCACCATACAATACAGATGTGAGAGAATTTCAGCATCTGCAGACTGTGCAGGAGCGGAGCCTCCACACTTCTGAGGCAGCCGGCCAGCCACTGAAGTTTATGGTAAAAGCACAGAGGTTTTATTATGACTCCGTATTTTTCAGACTAGGCAAGCAGCTTTGAACTGATTGTTAAAGGTGAACTAGGAAGAAATGGGAGAAGAGGAAAGTGCAAAGTTAAACCAATCTGTGCTGCTCTGAAAATTGATAAAAACAGGACCTTACTGAATTTGAAGAAACTCTGAAGTTAGCAAGAGCTAAAATTAGAACTCCAGATGAAGTCTGTACTGGGGTACAGAGAGAACAGCTATCACAGGAAATACACACACATGAGAGCTCCTTAACTGTGTATGAGTGTCAATACGCTGACTAAGAGTGCTGATTCTAAAAACAAAGGTAGCCTCATGGATCAACAGAATGCAGTACTGTGCTTCAGTTAATTATGGACATGCGTGCCCATTAAAGCCCAGGGCAAGTGAAGAAGCGTTCCTGTTTCCATGCTCTTATGATCAAATTAACCTTACAGCTGGGAAAGGACATCCTGTTTCAATCACACCATCCTCTGCTATCTGCGTAAAGAAGCAGAAACAGCCCAAATTCCAGATGTCAGTTTGAGATTTAAGAACAAAGATATCCTTTGCCAACTCAGAAAACAAAGCCAAACGTGTAATGTCTTTGTATTGGAAAAAAAACCAACCACTTTTCAGAGAGGAGAAACAATCTACAAGGTAACTCTGAACACTGAGCCCCATGTGCAGCAGGCCGGTGTCACAGGCTCTCTGCAGTTCCCGCTGCTCCATTTGCAAGCTGCATCAGTAATTTTGATCAGATTTACCTTACAGTTAAAAAGGCGGTCTGCAACATTTAAAGAGAGCTGTTACTACCTCACTTGACAGCTCCTGCGATAGTTCAGCATGCAGTGCTGTTCCTGACCCCACTCACAACAGAAACAGGAAGCTGAGAAAGGTTCTGTTAAATTGCAAGAGTTGTTACCAAACTTCAGACCCTGCATTCAGAACAGAAGTCAGCAAGTATCAGCAAGTCCTGTTCTGGTTTTTTTTTTTTTTTCTTTCCAAGGCTTTGGATCTTATTAAATATATTTGGAAAAAAAGCATTAAAAACAGTTCACTGTAAGACATCCTACCCTCAGGCAACATTTTAAAATGCCTTGTGTAGTTTGTGCATCATGTACACGTACATCATAGGCAATGGGGAAGATCCAGCGTTTGTCTACACATTAACATACAAGCAAGCACTGACAGATGTCACAGGTAAGACTGAACCCAAGACAAACCAGTGCATTGATTCGTGTCTGCACCACATCCCAAAACAAATGGAACAAGTCACGAGTAACAGTACAAACCTGTTACAACTTCAACATGTACATTTAGAAAAAGACAATGCGTGTACCCAGCCCTAAGACAGTGACGAGTTTGTGAGATAACTTTACAAAGATCAAGGTACCAGAAGAGGAAGGCACACATTAACCTCTGGTTGGTCCATTTCGGTAGTATTTGGATGAGTCATAGTGATTTATATACCCTGAGACAGTGGGAGGCCTTGAAAAGGAAAGGAGACCAGGTGAATGGGCAAATAAAAAGTACAAGTTTAATGAGATTTTAAGATTCAGCACCTGAATTTTTCCCTTTTAATAAGGGCATCTAGAAAAGCAGTTCCTAAGAAAACAACATATTGACTCCTAGATCTTTGTTCTGATGTCAGAGAACCAACATCTAGGACTACAGAGACATTGCACTATGTTGCAAGGGTTTTTTTTTTTACACACCCTCTCGGTTTCAGTCCAATGACCCGAATTTGTATACAATCAAGTGTTTTACTTGCTGGTTGTTTGGGTACAGAAGTGGTCAGGCAGTCCAGGTCCTCTCAACTCTGCCAACCCTGTCTTAGATTTGTGTGCAATTTCTTAGACCATACCGCTCCCAGCAGGATATTAGAGGGAAAGGCTGTTAGAAAATGGCACTCAAGAGCATTAATTTAATTAGCCAAGTACCACATGGTTTTGATAAAGAAACCCAGCATCACAAGCAAAAAGACACATCCTAATTTAAATCCTTGAAAATTAACATGGAGAAAGAAGAATGAGAGGCATACCTACTTGATCTCTCTGAAAATGTTTCTAATTAAGCCCTTTCACAAGAACCTCCTGAGCAATGAATAAGTATCCCCCGTTTTAAATTCCTCAGAAGTCCTGAGAACAATACCAAACACTGTTGGGCTTTCACCTTTCCTCTCGTGCCCCCCTGCCCACGCTCACCACACACCAAAGCGCCCGCTTGCAGAGGCAAGGCAGAGCAGACACAGGGCATCCCCTCAAACAAGATGTGGCTATGTTCTCCTTTCCACTTTGCCTTGTCTGCAATGTGGACAAATTCCTGGTGTCTGTGCTTCAGAAACTTTCCATTAAGTTACTGAAGGCACTGCAACACTCAGAAATGCACTTTAAATTGAGGTCACACCACAGGCTCTGGCTGTGGGGTGGCCAGTGGTGCACATGGGGATTTTCACTTGGTTTAAGCGTGCGCCTGGCCAGCATGGGAGTCCAGGCAGAGATCAGCTCCATCCGCATCACGCACAGCTCTGCAAGAGCTGCACCCCAGTTCAATAGTTTTGTCATAGCAGCAATTGTGACAGAAGCTAATTAAGAACCTCTCAGACACCTTGGAAAAGTGCATTTATGGAAAAATAAGGGTATGAGACCACCAGAAACAGATCCGAGAGCTCCCACATGGCTGCTGAGAGATACGGCTGCTTTGCTGAGGTGCAGCAACCAACAACCCATCTGTTCTTCCCTTCTTGCTAACAATCAGAAGAGATGACCATGCAGGGTCTCAGCAAGCCTGCTTTACTTCACATCGGCACCAGGTAAGGGACATCAGTTGACAAGGTCAGTAAGCACCTCTCAGCTGAAGGGCAGAAATTAAGACACCAAACCACCACTCCACATGGCTGGATCACTACTTTAGTCTGTTAACTCTGCAGCTGCAAGCTATATACAAAGCAAGCACTCAGGTGAAGGGAGAGGATGAAATTCTGGAGAATAACTAATACCTAAGCATCTTAATCCTTAAGATACAAAAAGCTGCCAAAGACCTGAAATGGAGGCAGCAAATATATCCCCATAATGAAGTTCAGGAGTCCCTGTCATTAAGGGAGTCACAAATCACCCACAATGTGAGTGTAACCTGTGTGGACAGACTAAGTCTAGTAAGATCACTGGGCACTCCTGCAAGGAATCTTAAAAATGGATCTATGTGGAAAATGAACAACTGAGACTAGGAACAAACACCTCTTAACTATTCTTTGGTAATTTAATCACCTTGGACTAACACCAGCAGCACTGATGAGGGGACCAAACAAATGGACTCACATTTTTACAGCAATCCCAGAACACCCAAGGAGAGCACTAGCAATTCCCCCTGGCTGGCTTGACTGTACAAAGGAGAACGCTGGAGGAATTACCAAGAATAAAGTGTTTGGTGAAGAGGGTGAGCACCACCCTCATTGCTGTGCTCAAGCCAACATTGCCAACTAGCTTCTGCTTCCTTAGGAATGTCCATCACATGACACCCAGTTGTACTGAGGGATTGCGACCCAGTACTTAGAAGCTGGGTATTACCAAACCCATAATTAAGTCACTAGTTTGATTAACTATGAATACTGAAAATGTAATACCCAAAGATACCCAAAATTAACATGGTAGTCCACTGAAAAGAGCTAAGCAGCAAAATTAACTGCTTCCTACACTCACTAGCAGCACAGAAGATCCCACATGACTGTTGGACTAGATGACCTCTAGGGGCCCCTTCCAACCCAAAACATTCTATGATTCTATGAAAAGTCAACAGCAGGAAGTCTGAAGGTCTGTTATGACTGAGGTTCTTTTCTCTCCTTCAAGTGCCTTATGTGAGATAAACCAGAGTCTGTTCCCCCCAAGAACAGACCACTACTGTGTAATCCCATCATCCAAACACGTACAAGGGCAACTGCCCAGTTCTACAGTCTGAGCCAGCCTCAAAGGTCTACCCAGTTTAAAATACAGCAAACTGAAGGTCTCAAGCATGGCTTGACAAAATGCCAGCAAGCCCATTTCTGCTCAACAGAGGTCACCTCTGCAAGTACAATATTGCTACAGTAAAGCCTGGGGGTGGAGGTGGCAACCCCAAACAGACCATTCAGGAGGGCAGGAGAGAGCAAGGGAGGGAAATCATTAAGAGATATTGGAAAAGATAAGACTGTCTGAAAACATGCATGCCACTGGGTCTCAGCAGAGCACAGTGAGCCACTCAAGCAGCTACTGAAGCGCAGCCACCGCACTGAACTCTACCCATCACAGAGGTCTATTTGCATTTTGAACGGTGGGGTGCACCCAGCTGCTCACGTCCATGCGGAGCCTGAAGATTCCCAGCTCTGCAGCCACTCCTCCACTTCGATGGGAAACCCCCGCATTCCTCACCATGATCCTGGAGTTCAGTTTTGATATCTAATCCAACAGGACAACAAAATCTAATAAAGTGAGAAAACCTGGCTTTTTCTCCTATTTCTCCCATCACTTATCTCTAGACAGTTGGCATCACCTTTCTCTGCCTCAAGTTCTAACGCTGACTGGACCAAAAGTGACATATGACCAACCACAAAATATTCTGAAACTTAACATCTGTATCACTACAAGCATTTAAAACCATTGAAACAGGGTAGAAATTAAATTATCTCTGGCCCAATTCATTTGCATGCTTGCAGCACTATCTAGTTTGTTTCCAGTTTTTTGGGGGGAGGGGGTTCCACCCAGCAACAAGGATGGCTCTCTCCCCATGAGAAGTTATCTTTGCAAGAAAGCATCCTGAAAACAGAGTACGCAGAAGCATGTGAGACTTGAGGAATTTTATATCATTGTCCAGATTCTTCTGAGAATTACCAAAAGTTTCCTATGCAACAACAACAAAAAAAAAGGGGCACTCGCACTACCAGGCTTTAGGACCACACACTGAGGTACTCGGGGAGATTGGAGTCAGCAGAGAGGACATGTTCCAGGGGCGCCTCTTCAGTGACCTAGAGACTCTGCAGAAAGAGCACCCTCCATGTCTGGAGGCTGAAGCTCAGTCCATATAAATATCCTTTTTGCCCCTTCAGGCAAGGGGGCTTCCATTAACAGATCAACATCAGGGCTAGGATTTCCAGGCCATGAGTTTTCCTTTGGCACTGGTGATACTAAGTGCCTAACTGG